GAGGAGGGAGGAAATCAATATAAGGGTCAATGCTATGTTTTCTTTCAAGTTCATTGTAGGGTCTGAACATTTTCTCTGCAATTGGTGATATTCCCAGCAAGAGAATACCAGTAGCTTTGGCACTGCATAAAATCTAAGTCCCCCTTTCAAGTCAGTATTTGAACCTGGAGTAATAAATGTGCAGATTTCCAGGACCTTCTCAGGACATCTCCCATCTGCCACACCCCCCTTCCCAGCTCACTATAAGCTCAAAAAATGCCAGTGCTCCCGGGTTTGTGCTGTAGACCCCTCATTTACTCCTTTGTGGAATTGGGAGCAACTTCCCATTAAAGGAGATCAGGGGTAATTAGCAGCATTATTTTGACAAGTTGGCTAGAGCTATTCCCTTTCCTGCAGTCCTGGGGAGGGGGGAATAGGGGAGGAAACAGAAGGTGGAAGGGAGAAGGGGAGGGGAGTCTTAGAGATTTTACTTTCTGTGGCTGCTGAATCTCCATCTCCACCCCCACTCCCCAACCTTTTAGACTCATTTTCTACCATCACCTTTTAAGTAAATACAAAAGCTGCCAATGAGAAAATAATAAGGCATTCTTAGGGAGCCAAGAAAATGTGGATGATGGCATACTGGCTTGAATTGAGTCAAGACTCAACTCTTATCCAAGGTACCTGCTTTGAACTGCTCAGGCTGTGGCCCATCCTGTACCCTGGGGCTTCCATCCACAAATGGAATATACATCAAATCCCCTATTTCTCTCCCTACCCCACCCTCTCAACAGAATACTGTGTGACTTAATGTAACGTTTGCAATTCTTTGCATTTGTGTAACAAGTATTAAAGTAGACAAAATTGTAACATGGCCTAAGAGTCAAATTACTAGAATACATTTACCCCTTTATTCATTTGTACTCTGCAAAAATGAGCTAAATTACATTAGATTTTAAAAAGACCCATTTGTTTGGATCTGAGAAACCTGTGAAAAGTTCAATCTCACTGTGGTTTCTCATTACCCCACCAAGTCCAGCTCCCACAATTGCTTATCGTTGGAATGTCCAAACATAAAGGGCAGATGTTTTATTTCAGTGTCATCATTTGAATAATCGGATGTCATTTTTGAGATGTGTGTGGCATGGCCATGGATATTTGAAGTATTGGAGCAGAGAATGGAGAAGATATGAGTGAATCATATTTTAAGAGTTTAAGGCATCTGTTTTTTAAACAACAGACTCCAATAAAGTCTTGGATCATGATTGGGAGACCAAAATGACAATTAATGCACTGAGATGAACTTTACTTGGAAAGGGGAAATGGAACACTCAACTGTTGCTCCAAAGAGGGCCAGCAGCTCCAGCTGGTTAAAAGGCCACAAGCTCTTAGTTATTTGGTTACTCTCACGAGGGGAACCATGCTGCAGAAAGACCATTAAATGGACTATCTTCCTAGCAGACACCTTTGCAGGCCTGGCTCCTCCAGCTAGCCTCATCTCAGGTCTGGGGAATCCTTGTGGTTAGTTGAAGTTAACAAACCTGGTGTGGCTCTGTGGCCCTCTGCACTGGGCATGCATATTAAAGGCGACAATGCTTACAAATGTAAATAAGGGCAGATTGGTTAGGAACAACATTATCGCTGGGAATGTCGCACTCGCATGCATCAGCAATGAGGCAAATTGGGGGCAGCCTCAGCCCTGACCACCCAAGTCGAGCAGGCTTTTACACTGGCTCTTCCCTTTCTTAAAGCGTTACAGAAACAAGGCCAATTAGATCCTCAAAGTAATTCATCTCTGTGTATGAAAAAAGTAGACCACAGGGAAAGCGGCGGGTGGGGGTGGGGAGATTAAGATAGCGCTTGTTAGAGCCCAGGCTGGGGACCGCGTTCTGGAACCGATTGGTAGAATTTTCAGGCCGGGACCATTGTCTGAGATGCTGAAAAGTTAACCTATCAAACAGCGGGTGAGGGGGCTCAGGGCGCTGAAAACCCCGGAGATCAATGTTCAAAACGTTTACGAATTAAGTCAAACCGAGGGAAATGAGCCCGAGTGGAATAGGCGTTGCCATTGAAATGGTGCACATGTAGCAGCAGCCAGAACCAGAGGATATGCAGCTGCGTGCGGCGAGTAATGGGTTAGGGTTAGGGTGTGCGTACATAGCCTATAATTTCATTTTAGAATTCTATAATCCAAGTAGGTATATTGAAATTACTATACATAAAATATTGGGAGGAAAAGCTAATAATTTGATCTAAAACGTTGTAAAGAAATTTGAAACGACAAACATAGCAACCTATGGCTACATGGTTCCCTTGCCATAAAGCACACCTCAAATATAAAAAGACTGACATGGAAAACTAGGAGTACCACCCTCAAGACTTTAAAAAAATAATTTCCATCGGCAAGCACGAAATGGTTTGACTTGAAACGTTTGCAGAATTATTCACAAAAAAGCTAGAACTTTAAATCACCTTTCCTGATTTCTGCTATTTATCAAACAATAAAGATCAGAATTTTGTTCAAAGATTAAACTTGCTATGTGTCGAGCCCAATTTTCCTGCGATATTATTTATCAGTGTACGTAGTATCATTTACATTGGACGGTGCTCGTCTTCCCTTCTGGATTTTAGCAGCCTTTCCCAGCGCCGCTCACAAAATCACGTGCTCCTTCGGAGTTTTGAATTTCCACGCTGGCCGGTTAGTCCGCTCCTCCAGATCTCTTGAACACCCTCAGACACTTATTCTCTGCCTCGCTGTGTTCTACAGGACACCCTACCCCGCCCCGGGGTACTGCACACGTTTTGCCGGTTCGGGATCCGGGGTAGGGTCTCCCAGGGAGACCAGGAAGGAGAAAAAGCTATACAAGGAAGGTGGTGAGGCTGGGTAGGGAACAGAGAGATCCGGAGGACGAGAAAGAGGTGCAAGAGGAAGGAAAAAGAAAGAAAGAGGGGGAGCCGAAGAGGAAGGAAGAGGGCGGACTGGCCGACAGGCCCCCCACGGGAGCCTCGTGGGCCGACCGGGTGGCGGACGGGCGGCGCTGCAGTCCCTGTCCTGTCCTGGCCGGGGCCGCGGCCGCGGCCGCTGGGTGGTTGAATGGAAAGGAACCCGTGCGCTCACCCATTGGTCAGCCAGGGGGAGGCCGTGCGGGCATTGGCCAACGTAAGGGGGCCGGACCGCCTTCAGGAATGTACTACGGCGCGTCCGGCACGTCCGTCCGCGCCGGCGGGGCGCGCGCCTCGCCTGGGCTCCCGGGAGGCAGCGCTGGAGATCTGGAGCCCGCGGGGCACGAGCAGAGCGCACCGACTTCCCTACCTCCTTGACTGGGACCGCGCGGACGCGGGGAGTCCCGGAACTCGGGCGCGCGCGTAATAAGCCTCCCGGCCGCTGAGCGCGCGCCAGCCCGGCCCTGGGTCACGTGGCCGCGTGGGCTCCACCTTCTAAGCCGCTCCTCCCCCTTTCCATCTGGGTTTCTTTCTTTCCTCTCCTTTCTTTCTTCTTTTTTTTTCAATGAACACACACCGTGTGCATCTTAAAGCCACACGGCCCCATTTCACGGCTTCAGTCAGTTTCTTCCTGCTGTGGGTCCATCTGTAGTTCAACGCCGTTTTTAAAAAAGAAATAAAGAAAAAACATACTAAAATACGGCAGAATCGAGGGCTTGTGGGTCTGGATCCTATCTCAGGGAGGAACTTAACTTGCAAATGTAAGAAAAACAAATTCCACTGTCCAAAAAATTATTTTTAAATAAAAAGTGAAGCTATGTAGACAGTTTAATTTGACTATGGCCTCAGGACCCACCTCAAAGAGGCGCGTGTTTTCTTCCCCAACGGGAAGTGAAGCCCCGGGATGTCTCGGTGACACTAGCCGCAGTGTCCAGACAAGTCCTCATAATCAGCGCACAATTTGTTTCGAATGAATCCAACATCAAAGCCTTTATTCTCCCCTACGTCACGCTATTATTAAATATAACAGGATGCGTACCAGTTCTTGAAATAAAAGTTTAAAAGACTTTAAATAAATAAGGACGTGGTTAAAAAAAAAAGGGAGGAGAGTGGCTAAGCCCAAATTAATCCAATAGTTAGGATAACTTCTCTTTCTCAAGAAAACAATTTCGGTTCTCCGGGTTGTTAAAAGGATTCTGCTGTTTCTCTTTTACATATGTCACGTTAAAGATTCAAATAAAAACGCCTGCCTCCATGAGAATGCCTCAGTGTCTGGATTCCACGTTTATAAAACACTGCCTCCTTCAAACCAGGACTATGCTGCCGTAGGGTTTGGCGGGGGGGTGGGGGGGGGCGCGAGGGTACGGATCTTAAGAGGGTTGCTTTTCCCAACGTCCTTACTTTCCTCTTTAACTTTCCATTTTGTTTATCTTAATGTTGGGCGTTGTTCCCTGTGAGAGCCTAAGTCTTCTCTTTAGTTATAAAAGAGGAGGAAAAAAAATCTGGCACATACTGGCGCACTATCCACCACCCTGTCATTATTGGTGCAGGCCTGGGAATTCAAGCCGGACCTCCCAGTATTTGCTGCAGCTTGAGGCCAAGGTGCCTCTGAAACGGTTTTCTTTGAGGAATTTCAGAAATTGTTTAAGCGCTTAAAAAAATATTACATTTTCCCCCCGTGTCTATCGCGAGGCAAATGCTCGTGGGTGTTTGTGTGTGTGTGTGAGTGTGTGTGCGCGCTCAAAAAGCGTCTACAAAAAGAAGACACTGATGAAAAGAAAAGGAATAAAAAAGAAAGGGGGGAGAGAGCATTCCTTAATGGAAGTATTGCATGCGAGAAGGTTGGCGCTCTCGGAGGCTCCCCCCGAAGCCGGGGATGCACACACTGGGGTTGCCTACCTGGGTGGTCTCTCTACTTTGGTGAGCTGTTGCTAAGCAGCTAATAATAGTCATGTTTGCTGAGTAATTTCTGCCCTCCGTGAGCCAATCGCGTCGCAGAAACCCAAGCCATCTGACAGCCCCAGGGGCGGGAGCTCCAGCCTTTTTCTCTTTCGCTCGCTCTCCCCCTCCACCCCCTCCCCTCCTCCTCCTCCTCTTTCTCCAAATGGAGAGAGTTCTTTTTTTTCTTCTTCCATCTCATCTATTGAATCAAGGAGCTGCTGCGGCCGCTGCCCGCTGCACACACACAGAGCGGAGTCCCCAAGTCCCGGGAGCGAGAGAGGCGCGCTGCACGGGGGCAGAATGGTCCAGCGGGTTGGCGCGGAGCACAAGAAAGCAGAGTCCGGGATCGAGCAGCCACCGCGAGCCCAGCAGCCAGAGCTCGAGCAGCCCGAGCAGCCCAAGCAGCAACTTCAGGAGCCGCCACCGCCAGCAGCAGCCGCCGCGGGAGCAGCGGCGGCTGCCCCGGCCCGGCAGCGCTGAGACCCGCCGGGCACCCACGGACCCTGAGGCAGCGGCTCTGCGCCTGTCCTCCGCGACTGCTCGGGCGACCCGGGAGGCGCCGAGGGAGCCAGCGAGGCCGGCAGGAGCGGCGGGGATTTGCTGGCGTTTTCTGCAGTGAAGGGGTCGCTGCGCGGGGCGGGGGGCGGGTAGGGGGAGTTGGGGACCTCGAGGAGCGCCGAGCGAGCGCCCGAAGGACAGGCTGGCTCTGCGCGCCGGTTCTCGCGCTCCCGAGAACTGGATGTGGGCAGCGGCGGCCGCAGAGACCTCGGGACCCCCGCGCAATGTGGCAATGGAAGGCGCAGGGTCTGACTCCCCGGCAGCGGCCGCGGCCGCAGCGGCAGCAGCGCCCGCTGTGTGAGCAGCAGCAGCAGCAGCGGCAGCAGCAGCAGCAGGTCTGTCAACCGGAGCCCCAGCCCGAACAGCCGGCGGCCAGCAGCGTCCTCGCGAGCCCAGCGCCGGGGCGCGCCGGGCGCCCGCAGCAGCACGCCGGGCCGCCCGGGAAACATCGGTTCCCGCGGCGGCGGCGGCGGCGGCAACATGGCTTCGGCTGGTAATGCCGCGGAGCCCCAGGACCGCGGCGGCGGCGGCAGCTACAGCGGAGCTCCGGGCCGGCCGGCCGGCGGCGGGAGGCGCAGACGGACCGGGGGGCTGCGCCGCCACGCTGCGCCGGACCGGGACTATCTGCACCGGCCCAGCTACTGCGACGCCGCCTTCGCTCTGGAGCAGATTTCCAAGGTGCATTTCAGACTCGCTCCTCTCCTCCCACTCTCTCCTCCCTCCTCTTCCTCTTTGGGATAGCCCCGCCACACACACACACGCGCGCGCGCACGCGCGCGCGCGCGTCACACCACACACACTCGCACACACCTCTTCAGGAAAAGAAGCAGACAAGCGGGGATTGAAAAATTCAAACCCACCCTCAGGTCCTGGAAGGAAGGGGCTGTCTGAGGTCCGCAGGGGGTGGAGGGTGTGCGTGTGCGTGCGTGTGTGTGTGTGTGTGTGTGTGTACGCGCCCTCCCCAGCATGCCTTTCCCGGAGCACTGGAAAGCGGTCCACAGTGGACCACCTCGAGGGCGGCCGCAGAGCGGCACTGCCCGGCGCCCCCTGCCTTGGTGTCCCCTCCTCCCGCGCCCCTGCCCCTATTTGCAGCTCAAACCCCTGTAATGCTGCCACATTTCTTAACATCTTGGAAGGGGAGGCGGAGTACTGAGAGGCGGAGAGTAGAAGGGGGGGAGGGAGCCGGAATAAAGGTGGTTTCCTTTTTTGGCAGCCGGTTTTGCTTTTGTTGAGCATGAAATCTCTGCTCCCTTAAAAACTATCCTTGGAAGAGGGCATCTCACCTCTTGTTTTCCAGTTTTTGAGCCAGCTCTTATCAGAGCCTAGGGGTAAAGGGAAAGTTGTAAACAAATTGCCACCTTAAATCCTTGGTCCGGGTCTGCGGAGCGGCGGGGTTCATTGTGTTTACGAGGCTCGCTGAAATGTGTGGAATCCGGAGAAGGCGAGCACCCAGACGGGGGCCCGCCCGGGCCGCGGCCAGCGCCGGGGAAACGCCGCCGCCGGGAGCAGCCAGCGCCCAGCCAGGACCCCCGCCTGTGCCGGCCTGGGCCTTTTCCCTGTGCACTCCGCTGCTTTTTACGTTTAACCCGAAGGGAAGGGAGAGGAGGGAAAGATCCATGTGGCTGCCCTCTTCCGATCACAAATATTGTCGTAAGTTGCAGATGGCTGCCCCACTTCCTAATTCAACTCACACAGCGTCTCCTAACGCAATGGAAATGGATCCCGAGTTAGCTTCGGCTGCCGCGCTCAGCACGTGGATCCCCTTACCTCCACGCCGGGAGGGCTCAGGATGGGGGATCCCGCACTACATTGTTCCCAAAGCTTGCTCGCCCTTCAGCCCGCGTCCCCGCCAGGGCACCAGAGAGGAGTGAAGGGTCGGGCAGGATTTGCGGGGAAGGGAGCGGACCTTTGCTGGTTCATAAATATTGGGCTCCATCACAGGATTACCCAGCCCCTCCCCTACCAAGCCCGCGTGGCTATCGCCTGTGTTGAGTGATTTCTGTGCTCTGTGCCTCAGCTTCCCCTTCACGTTGTTCTTGCGTCCCAACCCCCCCAGCTTCCCCTGTCGCATTCAAAGGTGCTGCACAGGTCACGCGTGGGGGCGCCCCTGCTGTCGCCAAGGTGCAACTCCCACGCTGCAGCCCGTTTTTCATTTATGCCCCCCCACCCCCAAGCCGCTCGCGTTTTCCCGTGCTGGCCAGGGTTCCAGCCTCCTGGGCACTCTCCACCACTGTCGCGGGATTCGCGGGCGGGTGCGCGCAAGCGAGCGTGGGCGCGCGGGCTGTGACTCCCCGGCGCTCACCACTCCTTTTTGCTTCATCCTCAGGGGAAAGCTACTGGCCGGAAAGCGCCGCTGTGGCTGAGAGCGAAGTTTCAAAGACTCTTATTTAAACTGGGTTGTTACATTCAAAAAAACTGCGGAAAATTCTTGGTTGTGGGCCTCCTCATATTTGGGGCCTTCGCTGTGGGATTAAAGGCAGCTAACCTGGAGACCAACGTGGAGGAACTGTGGGTGGAAGGTAAGAGACCCAGCGCCGGGTGCGGCGCCCTCCCGTTCCCCACCCCGGGCTCCTACCCTTTCTTCCAATTGATAAAGATATTTGCCAGCGTACACCTAGGGCCTTTCGGTGACGAGCGAAAACCCCTGCCCTGCACCAGGGGGAATTGTTTATTGTTTGGGCGCCTGGCCCGGAGCCAGGCCCGCCCGACAAAGGCCGCGCTGTAATCTACTCGGGGCGCTGCGCTGTGCTAGGTGTTGTGGGAGAGAGCGGCGGGGGCGGGGGCGCGGGGCCTCTCCGCGGGACGGACCACTGCACGGCCGGGGGCCTCGGGGCCTTCAGCCGCTGCCGCCGCCGCCCGCCTCCGCCGCGCCCAGAGACGCGGCCACAGGCAGGCCACTCGGCTCCTGGCTCTGGTCCTCGGCTTCCGTCCCCCCACCCCCACCCACCGCGTCCAAAGAGAAAGAAGGGGGGGCAGGGAAAGGCCACCCCTCTGACTTGAGGGAGTGTGCGCGCCCCCGGCGGCCGTGGCCGCCGCCGTGGGGAGGGCGGGGGGCGGGAGCAGCGCGGGCCTGCGGAGGCGGCGGCGTGTGTGGTCCTGGTTTTGGACAGCTTTCAACTCGCGGGAAAAAAACATTTGTCTCAAGGTACAAAAAAAAAGGGGTGGGGGGATGGGGGAAGGAGTTAAAAAAAAACAGTAAAGCACTGACTGGAACGCATGTTTGCAAAGTAGATTAATGTTTCTTCGCGGGTGGGGGCTTTTTAAATGGAATTATTCTGGGGAAAGGCTGCGTTTTGCAGGCTGAATGAAGAAATGTGTTTTAAGAAAGCGGTTTTGGAGGGAGGGGCCACAGGAGCTCTCCAAGGGGTTCTGCCAGCCTTTTATCTGCATTCCTCAGTTTGTCGGGGGGCGGGCGGGGGGGGGGTTCTTGAAGCTTGTTTTTTTTTAAGCAGTTGTAAATTTAAAGTAGACCCCCTCTCCCCCGACAAACATCCCTCTCCCCCGACAAACATTTTACATTCTTTTGGTGATACAAGTTTTTTTGTTTGTTTTTGTTTGGGTTTTGTTTTTTTTTTCTGTTGGATGCCTTTTAATTCTTTTTGGAAAGTGACAGTCTTGCGATTTGGAAGCGTTTTAATCTCTAAACACTGCCTTGGGTCTCTCTTAAAATGGGATGGGGGGGAGGGATTTGAGCTAATTATGTAGATACTTGAAACCAGAATATGTGGAGTATTCCTAATGAAAGCTACACCTAAGACAAAATTTGGAAGCCTAAGTAAGTTACATGCATACTGGATTCCTTTCAGAATGCGGTTGGAAAACTAACCTTGGGAAAATTTTTTTTTTTAATTTTTCTTTGTGAAGATTCAGCTTAAGTGCTTTGCAAGCATATGGTAGAGTCTTTAGTGGAGAAGTGACAATTAAAATAATAGTCCAAATAATTAAGACGAGAAAACATTCTTGCCTTAAGTACCTTGGTAATTAATACAAAAGTGTCATTTGGATAGTATCCACGGGTGTTAATTTACCTCAGTTCAGCACTTCAGTGTCGTTGGTAAAGAAAAGAAGGGTTTTATTCACCATCTATGATGTCTTAGCAGCAAGCTTACTGGGCACCTGTAACATTCCTAGCAATGTGCAGGGATATCAAATCGTGGGAGGCATTCCCTGAGCACAAATTCATGGACTTAAACTACCAGAGTTAAATGGACCTGCTCTAAATTTGAACTCACAGAAAGTGGACTGAGAAAGTTAAATGGAAAAAAAAAGAAAAAAAGAAAAGCTTCTTTCCTTGGAGGTGGTAAGGCAAACCAGGGTGACCTGGAGAGAGGAGGGAGGAGGGAGTTCTGGGAAGGAACTCAAAAAAGGAGGTCAGGCAGAGGCCCAAAATGAAGGCCAAAACTGAGTGGTCAGATGGCAGTGGGAGCCCTGCCTCCCTCCCAGTAGGAATAGGGTGCAGTAGCTCAGGTGGGCCCTGGACCAGGAGGGCTCTAGTTTGGAAATGATGGGATTGATTAGGCTGTTGGGAGCCACCATAGGTTCTAGGACAGAGCAAGGGATGACATGAGCAGAGGGAACCCCCAGCTCTGTTCACATGTTCACTTTATACCATGTGGTCCAACAGTTTTGTGGGGTGTTGGTGAAGGTGAAGACAAGATCATTTTTTGTTGTTTTGAGGAGGACTTTTCAGTAGACCTATAATAAGTTTGAAGAGAAGAAATGTGATTTTATTTTCTTAACATTGTATATTTCTAGAAGAAACTATGTTTCTGCATTACACAACTCATTTCAATTCCTGGAAGGAGGAGAAAATGCTCCCACAGGGCTCCATCTTAGTGAGAGAGTGTCAGGGAATGACACACCTAAGACACGAGGCTCATTTTGCCTGCTTTTGCCCTCTGAGCTGTTTTCCTCACCATTTCTGTTTTGTTTGTTTCAGTGGGTCCCACTGGTTCTTCTGCCAAATATCATCTACTCAATACTATCACTTGTTGAGCAACTACCATTACCGTATATTACTTAGTGTCACATGCCTTACAGCTCAATAAAGTAGCTATGTATTTATTTTTACAACATGATAGCTTATGTAATATATATAATAACAGAATTATTATCCCATTTTATATGATAAACTATGGATTTTCTGTGTCACCATGACCGCCTTGACTACTCATGACTTAAGCCAACTTGGTCTCCTGTTGACTTTAATTTGTCATTCATTAACTCATTCATTCATTCACTGTGTTAGATTCTTCCCCTATAGAAGCAACATTTTCATAAATGCGAGTAAACCTCACCAGGGAGGCCACCGTTCCATTTTATAGTTTTAATTTAAGGTCAAAATAGAGGTTTTGTTTATGATATATGTAGCTTAGTGTTCATATCAGCCAGCAAGTAGTGTGAGCATTTATTTTGAGGAGTACTGCACTGCTGTACTTAGAATTGCACTGCTGTCTTAGACTATAGTAGAGTAAAATGAGTAACAACTCGGGATTTAGGCTAATTTTGCACTTTAATCTCTTAGATAAATTCCTCATCATTATCAGCAAAGAAGTTTATTAGATGGTGTTTTCTTAATAGGGACTGTAAACGTTCTGGCTGTAAACACAGGGTACTTGCTACTACACTAAATAAACCAAATGAATGGAGGTTGCATATTTCCCTAGTTAAAAAGCAAGAGAAGAGAGGAAAGCGTAAGATATCTTAAGACAGGAGAAATGCTGACAGTTTGAAAAAATGCTGTTTTTCCTGTGATTTAAAAAAATGGCATGTATATATGCACAGATATATACACAAAATTAAGCAACTGAAGATTACATACTATACACACACGCACACAAATAAATACATATACCTAAGTAGATGCATATATCTCCACTGGCCTGTGTGTTTGTGTATGCACATAGACTTACTACATTCATGCTCATATCTACCAAAATAATGTTATCTTTTTAACATAGCCACCAAATGAAAGGTATCCTTTGATTTGACTTTCATGCCTTGTTTAATATGCTGGGGGAACTGTGGCTTTATAAATACACTAGCCATAATGTGCAGACCAGTATAAGCTAGATAAAGAAGATTGTCTCATTTTTTATGGCAATGGTGATAAGAACTCTTTGATTCCGTTGTTAACACGTTCATACTAGATTGCCTTTTAAGAAACTGTCAATGTCCATTAGATGCTAGCTTGGGTCCTAGGGCAAGTCAAAAATGTCAAATTTAACTCACTTGTGAATGGAATTCTGAAGTTTGGGAGAAGAAAATGTGGAATGATGTCTTGGATATTTGCTGTTACTGAAACACACACCGATGGCAGCAAGGCCAGGGAGATTGTTATTTAAAAGTAAAAATATTCAGCACCTATTCTCAATGCCTGCTCTCTCTAGATAGACACTGCAGGAAGCTCCAGAGAGATGTTGATAAAAGGCCAGTATCCCTGCCCTTAGGGGACATCCACCCAGCAGGCATACAGACCACTGAACTGGTCAGCCCCAAGTGATGGGGGCCCTGAGCCAAACACAGGGGCTGGAGTGGTGGGGGTCATGGGGCATTCCGTGCTGAAGGAATAGCATTGGCAAAGGGTCAGAGGACATGCGTGGCCTCCCGGGGACCTCCCAGTGCTTGCCTTTGGTTGGAACCTCAGGTGAGGTAGGGAGCCTTGAGGCTTGAAGGTCCAGCCACATGGCAGGAAGGTCTCTGATGCAGGACTTTTGGCTGGGGGTGCTGCCAGCTCTCTCTCTTTTTTTTAAATCAACCTTTATCTGTGTCATGATTTGCACTAGCTTTTTTGGCCTCTGATGCCCTCCCTGGTACCAGAGCACTTTGCCTGGATCTCACCTTTCTGGGCACAGACAGGAAATGCTTTATTTTTAGTCTTGCCTATTTCCCTGTTGGCTTTCTTTTGTGCTTAGCATTTTTATCCTCCTGTCTCCCTTAATATCTACCCCCCTCTCATCCCATCCCTCTCAGGCACAAGTTGTCACGCTATCCCAGTGACAGAACATTCATTTATCTCTTGGAGACTTTTTTTTTTCTCCTCAAAGCTTGCCCCTGGTCTCCTTTACTGCAAAGGCAAACAGCCTTGAAATGAATCCATATTGCCTTGTTTATTAACATCTCTGGAGGCCAGTATCAAGGGAGGACACAAGTTGTGGCTTTGATATTTATTTATTTATTTATTTATTTATTTGTTTGTTTATTTAAAATGCCTGCTTGATGTTTATAAGTGCTCTCAAGTTTGTACTACCTATCTTGCTGGCATTATGCTTTCGGTGTCCTTGGTGAGTGTAGGAGATCACTGAGCTTCACCACCCTTTTCAGCTTATAGCAAGTTTTTTTTTTTTTTAAGATTTTATTGGTGAATTGGGGGCAGGGGAACAGACAAGTTGCTGTCCTTTTTGTTCTTCAGTCTAGTTGTGGAGGACGTTGCTTCACTGGCCCATGTTGGTATTATCATTGCGCTCTTCCCAGGTGAGGCAGATTGGTCGCCGGCCTCTGGACGGCCGGCCGCTCACGG